TTGGAGCGTTTTTTTGCAAAGAGTAAGCACATTTTCCCACATCAAAATGTTTGGATGGATGGAAGATGTGCCACACAGATAGATTCCTACCCGAAAAGAGTGAGCGTTATAAGAAGGGTAGTAGTTTGAGTTTTTCTCCATCCCTTAAAATATATTTTTTTCCTGCAATTACAAAAGGTGATAGGTCACATTGAAGCGTGAAAATGTTTTCAAATTATTTATCTTTTTCTTTCACATGACAAAAACCCTGTATTTAAACCAGAGTGTTTGACGCTATAGCCACTCTACCCCGAAGTCGTTTGGCAACTAGTACTTTGAAGAACAAAACCTAATAAAATCAATCAGGAAATAGAAATCAAAACGCTGAAGCTGAGCACTGCGCCAAGATTTTGGCCCCATTCCGTTTAAATCCCCTTTGCACTGTCAAGTCTTTAATGTGATTAAATGGAGCCATGTAGAAAGTGGACCATTACAAGCAGCAGCACTGAAATAAAAAAAGTCTAAAGACAGGATGGTATAAAGATTTCTGGGAAAAAAAGTGTGGCGGGGGAGTGAGGGTCAGAGAGAACAGTGAAGACTCTACATTAATTTGGCCTGACTCCCCGCTTACCGTGTACGGCCAAAGGGGTCTCTCGCATTTGAGAGTTAAGAAGAGCCACATAGTGAAAACATCGGTGAAGAGCGAACGTGAATAAAATGTAATGTTTTGTGTGTTCCAGAACCACCCCCACCACAAAAATAAAATCGCCAAATGTTGCATGATTAAAAAAAACAACAACAACAACAACAACAAACAAAAACTCACATGACACTGATTTTGAGACGTGTGGATACAGAAAAATAATGCAAAAGTGTGATGGAAATGTGGTATTCATTTGTATTCAAAATTGGGTTATTTAGAATTATTTTCTTTTCACGGCTACTTGGTTTTAATTTCTAATGCAGCCCATGCTGATTTTTAGAAAGGAAGAAGAAAGGAAGAAGAAATATAATGGTAATCTTTCAGAAGGCTGCAATGAATAACTCTGACCAGCAAACGGCACCCATCGCCACTTGCCGTGCATGGCCAAAGGGGGCTCTTGGATTTGAAAGCAAAGAAGAGCCATAAATAAGGCGGAAACTACTGTGAGGAGCGAACGTTGTAAATAAAATGAATATTGTGTTTATTGATGGGACATAATTTTTTACTTCAAGTTACTGTAGCTCTGGCGAGAGAGTGCGACGTACAATGCTCCAAAGCTGACTTTATGCTATACAGTATGTGTGTAATGAGTTTGTATTGAATATATGCACACATTTATTGAAGCATGGTCTTGATTGTGTTTGAAGGATTATTTTCAAATTAGAGTCAGCCCAGTAACTACTAAATTTATACAGGTGGCGCTGTATTTGCCTGTATGCTAATCAAAATGTAACCAAATGATAACTCAGTGATAATAAGATTACACTTGAATACATTTGACTTTATATCAGTCAATGTGTGTCATATTTTAACCCAATATTGTTGTCATACATTAACCAGAAACATTTATCTTTGTAATACCGTTCTTATCAATACTTTTAGTGTCATCACATTTGTTACACCATATACACTTACTTAATTTTCACCAGATATAGTTACTTGATCATTTCACTTCGTACATACACATACAGTATAATCAGGCGTAGGGGAATAAAGAAATCAATCTGTGTCTTGTGTCTTCTTCTGCTCCAGTACTCCTTGTGTGTTTTAGTACCAACAGGCCTTTTACACACATACATACACTTAGGCAAGGCATATAAAGTAAACCACATCCTGTTTGATCAACACACACTCCCAGTGAGGATATTCTCATCAAAACATCATCACCTAAATCACACTGCACTGCACGTTGAATTGTTTTAGGGCCAATAAGAACATATTAAAGCAGATAACGTACACCTTCATAAATATCTTAGCTCACATCAGAGCCATCAATTATTGCCTTCAGAGGTTCTTTTGGAGCATGTGATGCTACCTGTCAGGTCCATCAAGTCCTGAAGGGCCCGGGTGTTACTTAAGCTGCACATTGCTGGATTTCATTAACTGGCGAGAATTCTGGGATGGAAATCAATTCCTCCTTTGAAGCTGGGCTGGAACATAAGCACAGAATTATGAGGTTTGATTCTCAGGGTATCGGATTGAGCGCAACTGGACTGTTTGTGGTTGTCTTTGAAGATGGATTGGTGCAGCAGTGAAATTGATTTGATCTTATTTCAAAGGTGAATTTGGCTCATTTTTAGCGTTTCTACATCAGGCCTCCAGCAACCACAGCGACGAGTGCTGCTTTGACGGAGGACCGGCGCCTTTTACTCCTTGCGTTTGGCTCCTCTTCGCTCTAAAATGCTGGGCGGTATCGCTCAGTAGTTGAGTGGACGTTTCTCAACCCAGAGTTTCATGGTGGGATTCCCGGCCATTGCAACCATGTCGACGGCAGGTAGTGAATGCTGTCCTCTGCTGGTCAAAGTTAGACATTGCAACCTTCTGAGAGAACACCATAATTTTTCTTATAACCCTCTAAAAACAAGCAATACCATAAAATGACCACCCTATGAACAGGGGCTGCACTAGAAATCAGAACCAAATACCTGTGGAAGCAATATAATTCAAAATAAACCAATTTTCAAAATAAATGGATGCCACATTTCCATTCCACTTTTGTGTTATTTTTCTACATCCAAACGTCTCAAAAATCTCTCTTGTTACCTTTTTTTCCAAATCTTGCGACATTTGACATTGGATTTTTTTTTTAACTGTCTGTGTTTCCATTACCAATTAGTACTTGCACAATTTGCATCCCGCCATATACCCGCACTTCATTGAAATTCTTCACTTTGACATTCAGAGCATTGGACAGAAATTGCATCCCATCAACACCACGATACTTTGTTTCACTTAAACAGTTGTATTCCCCAGGTCCGCACCAACTCAAAGTTCGCTGGTATGGCACCGGCGGAGGCCGCCCAGCCCACACCATGGCCTCGATGACCAGGGAATACAATACAATACAATACAATACAATACAATACAATACATCCTGATTTAAAAAGCGCTTTCACAACAGCTGCAACTGCAACAAAGTGCTTAACAAAACGGTTAGCATAAAGTAAAATAATAAACTGTAGCATCCATTGATGAAACAAAGAGATTGGTTCACTTCTCCCGTCCTGGGAGAACCTCCCACTGCAAGGTCACGACCGGCGCCCCAGCGAGGGGGTTCCATGGGAAGAGCCAGGCGCACATCCCCTCTGGGTCAGCTCACTCCCGCCTGACCGTGCACAAGAAAAACGGCTGCTGGAGGGGGAGGTTATTGAAGAGTTATTGGAGAGAACACCACGCTCGACCCCCGCCTGACAGTCCATGACAAAACCGCAGCTGC